GGGTCTGGCTGTTTTTCTTTCATCACTTTGGGCACAAATCAAACTTGATTTCCCTCTTTGATACAGAACAACAAACAGTAATGAGCAATTTTCCCTGCCTGGAGGAGGGGACAGCAGGCTGTCAGTCAGCTTCACAGCACTCAACTCCAGGCTGTGTCTGCTGATGTGGAAACGAAGGAAATGCAAGCCTGTCCCTGGGGCTACTTCTGGGATGATATATCCCAAATTTGCTGGCTTTTATTCACTCCTATAACGTTTTCTTTCTTTTTAATATTATTATAATAATAATAGATAATAGTAATTTTTGCCATCTTAATGTTTCTTCTAAGGAACTTAAAAATGTTTTGTAAAAACTAACGACAACGTTTTCTTGACATAGGGAATAATAACAATCTCCAGTTCCCTGATGGGGAGACTGAGGCACAGGGAACTAGTCAAAGTTCAAGGAATACGACCCACAGGCCTACTTCCCAGGCCCCATATATTACATCACCTTTCATCTTATTCCCCAAAAAGTCATTCTTAGTCTTAGCAATTAAAGAGACTTGGCACATGGTAGATGTGGTCTCTGCCTTGGAAATTCTTTTTTTTCAATAGCAGATTAAAAAGTCCTCCCCTCCCTATTTAGTTACTTAAGAAGTGGTTTAAGAGTGGCCCAAAATAGAATCACTGAATATTTCCAGAAAATTTTGAAAAAAATCTTCATTTTGTGGCTAGGAATTTAGTTGTGTAACACTTACTGAGAAGTAAAGCTCTGAAAATGCAGCTTGAAAGTAAGGCAATTTAAAAGTACAATTGGCAGAAACTGTGCCAATCTCTGAAGTTTTCAAACCCACCAGATTTTAACCTGCCCCGTGCCCTTTGCAATTGTTCAGCGGTGTGAGATGCATCTCAGCGTGTCTGTGGAGCTGGTTGGGGGGACCTGGAGGATGCTCCCAAGTTACAGTAACCAAGTGGGCCTGAGGTGATACAATTGGACTTATCACTTGACATATCTCCGTGCCATGGACGTGCTTTAAGTGGAGGTTTCCTAAAGGACTCAGGAATGCTGAAGGCAACCTGGGGGTCTACCTCATGAGTACATGCCTTCTCACTGGTTTTGAATGTACAGCCATGCTAACAAAAATACACTGAGCTTGACATGCAAGTGTACACTCACCCACAGGCATGCAAATGAACGTGCCTGCATACACAAAGCTCTCAGATATACACACCCACCCATAAAGCAGATCAAACTTTCACAGTGAGATAGCCACACTGGCTCAGAAAACATGTTCATAGACTCAGTTACATACACAAGAACCCATGTGTCTCCATCAACAGACATTCACAACAGAAATACAGCTGAAATACGTATGCTTGCACACATACTCTCTTTCCTCTGCACACAGATTCGTGGCTGTACACTCTCCCATGGATCTGTAGCCCACACACCATTATCCAAACACATTCAAGTACACGTACTACAACCAATGGAGTGCATACACAAAGACCCACCCATGCACACTCACATATGTCTTAATGAAAGTTTTGGTCTGGTAAATTCCTTTTCAAGAAACAAAAATAATTGTCAAAAGGAAAAAACAGCATGGGGAACTGCACAAATAGATGCAAGCGCATACCTGCATGCACACTGTGGAGCCTGCCAGTCAAGGTTCCCACTGCAACTACAGCCACCACAGCTCAGAACCTGCTGGGTATGTGTCCCCTGAGTGCAAACGTCTGGTGAACCTCACAGAGATTTCAGGCTTACATGTCTATGGCCACATATCAAACTAACCTGTGCCAGGTGTCTCCATCTTCCCTTACTGACCACCATGACAACTGTCCCTTAGCTCCAAGAGCAGCACTTCCCAAGACCCTACCACAAACGTTCTTCAGCTTCTAAGGAGCTGGGCAGAAACATCTTACCTGCACCTGACCAGGCTAAACATCTCCAATTAGTGGAGTTTATTGGCATTTTAGGATTTAGTTTTTCTTTCTTTTTCAGACTCGAGGTCTCTCGGAACAAGACAAGACAGTGTACAGAAACACAAGGCAGGGTTTGCTCAAACCCACAAACAGCAAGAAAGCAACAAGCTCCTGAGGAGAAGGGGAGAAGTGTATCTGATAAACTGCCTCACACTGCTCAGGAAAGTGACAACTGTCCGTCCAGGATGGGCTGCTACTTCCAAAGGCCATCTGCTACAGATGTAACGCATCAAGTGCTGCTAGCAGGAAGGGAATCCGACAGGACAAACCAACATACAAAACATTCTCTTATTCAATAAGGGTTATCAGGGCAAAGGGATTTCAGAACATTTCAGAACAAACTCCATCCATAGTTGCTGCTCATTTATCAGTGCATCAAAAGATTGTGCAAGTTTTTAGTAACAAATGTTAGAAACTAGTAGCAAAGGACTTGCCTAGATAAAAAGAGAAGATTTAAACATGCCAGGTAACAAAAAGACGTGTGCAGAAATCTGTAAAAACTGTATAGAAGGAAAGGATTCTTTAGAGGAAACAGAGGGACCATCACAAAATAACCCTAACTAAAAGAGTCAAGGCTGCTCCTGCTGCCTCCTCAACTAAGACAGGCGGTGGCTGTTTAGACAGAGGCACAGCCTCATTTTTCGTAGACTTGTACAACCAAAAACTGGATTCTGGGCCTTGCTTGACATGAATTTAGACAGGGAATGGAAAAGAGACGCAGCCTTGTCAGTGGTAATTAAACACACCAGTATGGATGGCCCTGGAGACTAAAGATCTGAACACAGCACAGTTAGCAGCAGCACGACCTTCTCAACAACATGCTGAGAATGAATGCGATTTGTCTTGCTCACCTTTAGCATCCGGCAGCTGGGTGTCTAGACAAACCTAACGAACCTAGACACTGTCCAGTCACTGGATGGGCACCTCCAAAGAGCAATTCATTTCCTCTGTCATAGCCATACACAGGGAGGCATCAGTTGGCCTGGGGAGGTGGGCACTCCACTAACTCTAAGAGGAAGCCTGGGTGACTATCTGCCTTCCTCTCAGATGACCAAAGTTTAATGAGATGTATACCGAAATGTGTTAAGCCACAATGTAAAAAGTTATTTAATTTATAGGAAATTACTGTGAATTTCTTCAAGAGGATCCATTAGATCTTCCGCTCAGTACAGGGTCTCTGACTACGATAGACATCCATTTATTCATCAAAACACAAGGATTTCCCTCCTTTCTGCTTGGAAGATTTTTATATGGATTCAAATACATCAGTTAGGAAAGTCTTGTTCATGTTTAGCATAATTCATCTCCAGTTAACTGTACTTATTTTCTCAATTACCATGTACAGTTCTACCTCTATGGACGAGAATTGAACTTTTCCACAATCTGAAGGCTATTGCCAGGTTCCCCATTTATTTTCCTTAGGAGTGTGGCATAAAAAAGGCTTTTGTTTCATTCTTTAAAATAAACAACTTCAGCCTGCTGATCACTGTAACTTTCCTCTACAAAATCAGCCCAATCCTAATACCTCTCTAGTAGAAGGGTAACCAAAATTTTTTCCAACATACTGGGGGAAATGTTGCAAATGATTTTTTTGTGTCCAGAAAGTAGGACGTTTAAGAGATGCAAAATAAAATTTCATTTTCAGTTAGAAACTATTTTCCGTTCTCTCAAAAGACAAAGAAAATAGATTAATGTCAAATAAAATATTTCATTTATTCTAAATCAAAATATTACTAACTTGGATAAACGTCCCTCTTTCAGAATGAAAAAAAATAAAGTTGAACAGAAATTAAACTAGAACCACAATATGAAAACATTTTGTTTGGAAAGTTCAAAGTAAGGCATTTTGATTTTTTCAAAATATAGCCTACATTTTTCCCCAAACACAGCACTGAGTGAAAACTACACTGTCACTTTTCTGCTTGTGATGGATTGCCCCTACAGTGCACAATTCCAAGCTGTGATGTTTATTCAACAGCCACATCATTTTGCAAATTCATGATTGATTTGCTGTTCATTAACATATTTACAGCAATTTTCTTTCAATTTTTCTATTTCCCTGGCCTTACTAAGCTGGATTTTTTAGTGCAATTTTTGCCCATGCTCATAAACCCAGTGGGTCCTTTGCAGTCTTTCTTTTGCAACCTGTGTGCTTCCTGCCTATGTCTATTTATCCTGTAATTCTATATCCATCCACCTCCAAAAAAAGACAGAGGAAAAAGCTTGCCTCATGTGATTTATTCCTTGAACACCAGCTGCTGCTTTCAGTCTCCGGGGCTCATTCAATCCTTTCCCTGCCTGCCGAGATGGGCACCAGTGGGGCCAATCAGTGTCAATTGTGCTGGTGGAATTTGCGAGATGGAGCAAACTGGGTTGCAAACCCAGAAAATCAGGTTGAAACTCTTGCACTTTGGTTTTCTTTGGGCTTTCTGTTTTGTTTTTATTTTATCTACATTTTTCAAATTAGAAATTACACATTAGGAGCAGGATCTCTAAACAGAGACGATTTGGTCTTTATGTCTTTTGGGGGAAGCCTGGCTGAGGAGGCTTGGGAAGGATTCCTGGTCTGGTTCCTGCAGTTCCACCTCGAAAGAACTGACCATTAGATCTCTGTGGGGTGGAGAGTATTGAACTGCCATGGGAAGCAAAGCATAACATTGGGTAGACCAAAGTGCTGGCTTGGGACTGTTCTAGCAGCTTCCCATGGCACAAATAGCTTTTTCACTTACGCTCCACGTTTCCCATCACTTTTCCTGCTATACAGTTTAATTCATGCCAGGCGGATTACGAAGGGAAGAAAATGATGCAACAGTCAGAAAGTCCTTTAAGTCGTTCCAAAAATTACAACAGAATAAAAACAAAACAAAACAAACAAACAAAAAAAAAAGAAAGAACTTCAAAACTAAAAAAAAAAGCTCTGAAACAAACTCAAAAGAAAGGAGGAAGGGGGAGTGGAAAAAAAAAAGAACCCGGGAAAGACAAATGAATGTTAGAGCAGGCACGATCATGGACAGACGCCAGCTACTTACGTTCACCTCGGTGATTGCTATATCAACAATGCTACCCACAACAATCAAGGCGTCAAATGTATTCCATGCATCACAGAAATAGTGCTGCATGTGGCAGAGAAGCCAAGGAAAGAGAGAGAGAGAGAGAGAGAGAGAAAGAAAGGGAGAGAAAGAATGAGAGAGAGAGAGAGAGAGAGACAGAGGGGAGAAAAAAAAAAAGGGAGAAAAGAGGGGAAAAAAAGTAAAAAGTAAAATAAAATAAAATAAAATAGAAAATAAAACAAAACAAAGCATGAAAGAGGGAGAGAAGAGGAAAAAAATAAGAAAAGAAAGAGGTTACGTGGGCATATTAAATAGTCTCTTACCACTCTACAGTATTGGTTGCTCAAACCTCTGTAACGTTTCACATGATGGAGGATATCAACAACAGCCTGGTTAGTCAGAAAGTTACACTCAAGCATGTCTACCTTTTGGAGGGAAAAAAAGCACACACACCCCAAACTCTGTGCGCTTTCACCAGTCACAGCCTTGGGGCGAGCTATGACAAGTGAAAAAGAAGGAGGCATTTCCCCCCCTCTTTTTTTTTTTCCCTGGGAGAAGGAGAAGGACGACGGCAAGTTCAATAAAAGCATGACTAGAGGGAAAAAAATCAGAAAAAAAAAAAGAGAAAGAAAGAGAGAAAGAGAGAAGGAACAGCAGAGGAGGAGGAGGTGGTGGTATCCTGGGGAGGGTAGAGTAATACTCACATTAGTTTCACTGAGAATGACGTCTATAATGCTGCCAATTACGATGAGGAAGTCAAAAACATTCCAAGGATCACTAAAGTAACCCTACATAAGGAAGGGGCAGGCAGGATGGGGATTAAAAAGGAATGTTAGACAGACAAAAACAGTTCAAAATTACCATTAGAATTACTGCCCTGATACCTCAAGAGGTTTTCCTCTTAAGTCTACTTGTTGCATCTCAAGCTGTAATCCAGGCCTGGGATCCTTGACTTGTGTGAGCAGCCCCTATCCAGCTAATGCAATCCCAGGGCAGCCACCCCTGCCCCCCGGCTCTGGGACGGGGGGGCGAAGGGAAGCCACATAGATCACCGAGCATGGCTGCTCACAGGAGCAGGCCTTGCAGGACCAGCTTCTCCAGACATCTCCAATTCCTAGCAACATGGCACCCTTCCCAATTTGGCTTAGATTTGGCTGGAGAAAGAGTACAGGAGTGGTGTCACAGGGTTCTCTCAAAAAACGGCTCACTGGCTGCCAGCGTGAATACCGATCCACCGGTCCATGTTCCAGACGTAATGCTCTGTGCTAGTGCTGGGAACTGCTGGCTGCCATGTCACAACGGAGCAATGGTCAGAGTTCAGCTGGGCATGTGCTATTTAAGTTGCACTGGTTGTCACCTTTATCTTAACCCATACTGCTAGGCTAATGACCTTTACAATGAGTATTACAACGGTCATTAGCCAAACAGTTTCTACTACTAAAGCTGTAGCTCCTGTCTTAAAACTAAAAAGCAGGACTGGTATTTTTATTGCTCTGAAAGCGCGTCTGGCACTGCAAAATGAAGGCGTGAACATGGCATGTGCTGGCGCATCCCACAGGAAGGGGTAAGAATAAGAGCAGAGCTGACTTTAGCACGTGCTCAGAGTAAGACCTGTTGCTCACTCATGCTAAAGATAGTGCCACAGCATCACTGCAACATCAGGTCTCTAGGACACGCTATGGCAGATCCACTAGCGTGTGCTAAACTCATACCTTCACTTTGCTGTGCAGAATTACTTCAGGGGCTATCTCAGACATCTAATTGTCCCAAGCAGGGCTCAGGAGATGCTAATCAGCACTGCTTGCTGTCCCCACCTTGCATGATTTTCTCCTGGATGGACCACAAGGACACAGGACCCTTTTGAAAAACGTCCTCTTCAGCCCAGGAGGTGAGCTTCTATATGTAAACTTCCAGTTCAAGCCAAAGCCACGAGCAAAGAAAACTTATCTTGGCTCACTGAACACCTGTGCCAACCTCTTCCCCTTGTGCTGCAGCCCTAAAAGGAGGCAGACGTACAAAATCCTCCATACTCCTATTACGTGTTTGGCTTTGTGAGCACGCGCTAATCTGACCTCCCTGCTTCCCAGCTGCAGCATGCCTCCAGTGAGACTGAACCCAAGCTGCACTGCGACTGCTATTCTTAGCCAGAGAGTCAGGTCATGGGTAAAGTGTGAGCCTGTGTTCCCAGGCAGCGTGGCAGATAGCAAAAAGGAGAAAAGAAAAAAAAAAAATTAGAAATCCCAAGCACTGGCACTGCACAAGCCAGGCTTGGGAACCTGAAATTGCTGTGGGTTCAACCATCACATGGAGCAGGCATTGGCAAAAAGTGTCTTTCTAAATGCTGAAACGCTGCCTCCAGGATGGGTTGAGACTCACAGTTACAAACTGCATTATGTGTAGGGCAGGGGGAAAAGAAAAGATGAAGCAGAGAAAGCCACTGCCCAGCTGGTTCCACACCAGTGAAGGGAGCTGGTAGAGCAGACTCTGAAATCTTCTCCTCAAAAGCAGAAAAAAAACCCCCTTTATTCTGCAGCCTGAAATAGGCAACTCTTAGCAGATCTACACTGGGAGGAGTAATCATCCCATGGCTACACATACTATGTAATTAGCTACAATAGGGAGGAAGGAAACAGGAGCAAAAGGAAATTCAGAGAATATTATTACTCAGTGTCCAGCCTAGAAAATACACAACAAATATTAGAATGAATTCAGCGGTGATGTCCAGCATCGTTAGCAACCAGATGGACCTGGAATAAAACTGTAATTAGACTTCACCAAGAGGAAGGGGAGGGAGAGAACAGCAGATTAAACTGTAGAGGCAAACGCATTTTGAATAAGTAAAGGACAGACACAGATCATACAGAGTTGCAAAGAGTGCCTTTGCAGCCTGGTGCAACCTTGGCAGAGACTACACTTGCAGGATCAAAGAGAACGGAGTAGAAGACAACAGACCCAATC